GCCATAGCCTGCTGAGCAACACCACATTCACCGTGAACAGAGAAGACTAGAATTCATTTGCTCACGGTGTTTTTGACGCAGTGCATTGACATGACGGGAAACCTTCCGTCAGAAACACGTCCACGCAGACACATAGACTATTACCTCTGTTAACCTCAATGTTTCTTCAGAACATTTAAGTTGACCCTTAAGCCCTCGGGTCAAAGCTTAGGGAATTTGCAGAAAGGAATGTGAATGGAAGTTTGAGTCAGATTACAGATGGAAAGCCTCATAACGTGGGCGTTTCTGCGTCTTGATGTGTTTCTTGTTTTCGTCTTTAAATTACAGGATTCTCATCGCTTTGGAAAGCACCTGAGGCAAGCGATGACTGACATCATCACTTTGTTTGGGCTCAGTTCTAATTCCAAAAAGTAATTCCATTAGCGCTGCTGTGAAGGAAAAGGAACTCTTCTGATACCAACCAAATGAAAAATAGGTATTAATCCTGATTGTAGGTCAGGATGAAAAAATTTCTCTTAAAAAGACTCATGTAAGTTTTCCTTCCATAAAGGGTTTGGTGTTTTTATGTTCCTAGAACAGTACATGTGAAGTATAACCCCATTGCTTCCAGGAAGGTCTTCACTTTGGGACATTTGATACAACCCCCCTAAAGTCTTTGCATCAGCTTGTATTTATTAAGGGATTCAAATACTCTTGACTCGGTCGAGGAAATCAGTGGGGTTGTGACTTCACACACATTGAAAATGGAAATGGCACTTTCTCAGTGGTGACCGAATACCTGGTACTTAAAGGGCATTTAACTTCATCAGAGCACTATAAACATTTGTTTTGTTCAAAGTGTCCACGTTGGTAGTGTTAACAGTTACAGCTAACACACATGTAACACACTAACAGAAAATGCTGGGCTTTGGAAGCAGGTGTTTGTCACTGTGGGTAATGATTCTGTCGTTGCCGGATTTGGTCGTCAGGGTTTGCCTCTCTGTGTTTGAAGCAGGTATAGCACCACGTCTTTATTTTCCTGACCTTGCATATCTTCAAGACCCAGTGCCTTAAAATGGAAAGGCCCTAAATGTAAAGAGGGACCATGTGAAAGGTTTATTTTGTGGAGTCTGTGGGTGGGTTTGTGAGAATATTGCTCCCTTCGCAATTTACTGAGTATGGCTGACCCTAAATAAACATTTGCTGCAGTTTTCCCCTACCCCTAGAAAGACTAGTTCCTTTATGAGGGCTGCTTGTTAGATTCCTTCATTGGACTGCCTTCCTGTCATCGTTCAGCAACAAACAAAATAACAGGCATGTTTCAGAAAAAGGGAAAAAAGAGTTATGATGGTCTAATATGATGTGTCCTGAGAATCCACTAAAAAATAAAATGTAGAATGTGCCTCAGAATTACTGCTTGCCCAAACCAACAGTAAGGAGAGCATGACATTGACCTCTGGGAAAGGAACAGAACTTGAGAAAAGGTCAGACAGCCACTCAATGGTCAGGAGCGTGCAGCTCCAGGACACCATTGGGATTACTTTCTAATCCTTCCCAGTAAGAGAGAAGACCTGTCTTCGTTTCCAAAAGAGCTGGAGGTCGATGGAAACAGAATGCCAGGTAATCTGGGTGACAGACCCAAGTGTCCCAAGTTACAGGTGCTAGGTTAATACAGCCTATCTTTCAGATAGGAGTGCCTTTTTTGAAAGTGTCTGACTGACCACAAAGCAATTATGCACTGAGTCAGCTTCAGTATTTAATGTAAAAGTAAAGCATCATGGAATGAAATTCCTCCTTCCTCTGGGCTGTCATTATAAGCTTAACTGTCTGTTTTTTAAAGCATATATTTATTTTTCTGACCACTTTGTTGCAGTTGGGCCAGCCTCTTTCAAAGTTCTGCACTCCGATAGTACAAAACCGAGGGGTAGGCTACTGGAATAAATGAAAGATGCTTACTGAAGAGCATGAGCATGTTTTATTTATGTATATTTTGTAGTGTAAAAAAATCCCACCTCGATGGGCCAAAGATTTCTTTTTTTCTCTTTAAATCAAGAAGAAATGAAAACAAAAGACAAAAAAAAAAAAAAAACCTTTTTCAACCAAAAACAGCAGTCATAAAACCCCTGATCATCTGTGGTTTACAGCCTAGCAGGTTTGGAGGGTGACAGCCCTCTGTTTAGGGCAAGTGAAGCTTCTAATCAAAAACTAGCAACCGACATCGGTTTGTGTCAGAGCCACCTAAATCATGCACCGTTGACCACTGACCCATCTGTATTCCCGTAGCGTTCCCACGTGGACTCCAGTATACATGTTAGTGCTTCACCATATTTGGGTTTATCTCTCAGGTTTTAAATGTTTCAGACACAATCGTTGCTAATCACTGCAGTTATCAATGCAATTTTATATTCCTTAAAAGGAGGAAGAGTGGGTTTTTATTGTACATGTTGAAAGGGGGAGGTAAAAGTATTATGTATTTTATTTAATTTGGAACAAACCGTATTTGTTAACGCAGCCATGGTTGGAATTTGTTCTCTTGGACTGTCCATTGCTTGTAAATATAATATGCTCTTTGGATGTAAATCTTAGAGATGCACAGTGTGAATGTAGGTTATCTTAATAAAACATTAATCCTAGTCTACTATAATATTTGTTTCTGTCTCTTTTGTTATACTAATAGAGGGAATTATAAATCAGGGTCCAAGGTTGGACACGTTGGACAGAGAGACTAAGATGTGCCAAAAAGGCCTCAGAGCAGGCAGAGTGGGTGTCGTCGGGTACATTCAGAAAAGCTAAGTAGGGCCCATTGATTTTTACCTTACATTCGTTTACTCATCCATTTCTTTTTTAATAATTGTTTCATTTAACTTATTTGTTTATTTAAATTTTATCAGAGAGGGACAGAGTGGGACCAGCAGTTAGCGTAATGGCTATGTCGCTGGACTCCCATGTAGTCGACCGCGGTTCGTGTCCCAGACCCGGTGGCTTAAACTCACGCCGGGAGCGTGGGCGTGCGTACCCAAGATCCCAAGAGGAGAATGGAGGAGAAGGGATTGCGGTGTGACCATCCCCCCTGGGGGGTGATTTCTCGCTTTCTGTCTCTATGTCTCTCTCTGTCTTTCTGGCAAGTGCACGCATCCTATAGCGAAAAACCTCTCCAAAAAAAAAGAGAGAGAGAGAGGGAAAGTGAGAAAGCAAGCCCCCAGGTCCAGGTCTCAAACTGCAGTTGGCCATGTGGGAGCCCAGCACCCTTAACCACCTGTCAGCCCCTTTTCATTCATTTCTTAACACAGCCGTGGTTGGAATTGGTTATCTTGGACTGTCCATTGCATGTAAATATAATACGATCTTTGGATATAAATCTTAGAAATGCATGGTATGAATATAGGTTATCATCAATGCCTAGGACAGTGCCTGACACATAGTAGGTACTCCATAACGATCTGTTAAATGAATGCATGAATTTTTCTTGAATCCCTATAATATAGTGACGATCCCACAAGGTCCTGGCTTACTAGGAGCTCAAGGATGAGGGAGAACCAAACCATCCAGTTGAAGGATTTTGTCTTAAATCTTCTAAGACAAATGAGAGGACCATGGGAGGGCAGGACTAGAGGCCGGCCCTGGAAGGAGGCCGGCTTAGAATGGAATTTAAAATTTACTATGGGTTTGAACTGAGACCTGAATGGCCACACAGCCAGCTTTGGCTGATCCGGTAGGGCCAGCAGAGAATTGAGAACAGCAGGTACAGAGGTTCCAGGCTTGATTTTGACTGGCTTCGTGACACAAGCTGTGCACACTTGGCATGGTGCTACTCAGGAAATGTTTGACTGGGCTCAATGAATGGTACAGCCTTGTGGGTTGATGCCTTGCTCTCGCTACTCAAGCTATTCAAATTTTGTGTGTGTTTTTGCTGTAGGGCACGTGCTCACTGGAGAGAGAGAGAGAGGGAGAATCATCCTGGGGGATGGCCATGCCCAACCCATTCTCTTGGGATTTTGGGCACACATGCACATGTTCCTGGTGTTCTTTTTTGTTGTTTGTTTTAAGATTTATTTAATTTCATTTGTTCGTATTATTTTTTTAATTCGACCAGAGAGAGAGAGAGAAAGGGAAAAGGAAAGCAAGAAAGCAAGCCTCCAGGTTCAGGACTTGAATTGCAGTCAGCCATGTGGGAATCCAGTGCCTTTAGCCACCACACCATCTGCTGGCCCTCCTGGTGTTCTTTTAAAACTGCTGGACCCAGGACTTGAACCGCAGAGTCAGCCATGTGGGATCCAGTGCCTTAACCACCATGGCACCTGCTGGCCTGCTACCCAGTTTTTCACTTGGGTTTTTTCGATTTACATCAACTGTCTTCTAGATCCCTGTGATTTAGGAAATTCAAGTTGGATTTTCAGTCATGCCTTTGAATTCAAGTGAGTTTAATGTGATGTGATTATTCCAGCCATAACAATGTGAGAGACCATCCACACACACACACGTATGTAAATGTCCGGAGAGAAATAGATACACAACAAACTTGACAGTGCTCCCTTCCTGAAAGGCAGTGTGATTGGGGATGGTGTCGTTCTCAAGGGAATGCTAGCTTTACCTGTAATATTTACGTATTTCAGTAGGAGAGTTTAAAGAAGATATAACTAATGAAAAAAAGCTTTTTTTTTTAATTGCTAGGGGTGCATGCACAGGCCAGAGAGACAGAGAGAGCACCCTTTAGTGGGTGTACCATGCCTTTATCCTGTCTCCATTTCTCTGTCCTGTTGGGTTTGGGACATGTATACATAAGCACCTGGTATTTTATGTTTGTTTTTGTTTGTAAGAATTAATTAATTTAAATTTGACCAGAGAGTGAGAGAAAGGGAAAGTGAGAAATCAAGCCTCCAGGTTAGGGGCCTTGAACCATGGTCGGCCACGTGGGAGTCCAGCACCCTCAACCACCACACCACCAACCGGCCCCAGCACCTGGTGTTTTTGAAACCAGCGGGAGTTTGAACTATGTGGGATTTGTCTCCTTTAACTTCCAGGCTGCAGGGCTAGCCCTATCCAAATCTTAATCTGAAGACGCCGCTAGAAGTTTTTTCCGTATGGAAACTAGCCCCACAGTTAAGGAAATGATGTGCATGGGAAATGGTGCCCCGGCTTCTGCATGTTGCAGCAGCCTTCTGGTTTGTTTGTAATTAGCTAGTTGCTTGGGATAGAATATATTTTAGGTTGTTCACCTGGCAGAAATATTCCTACAGTGATCATATAATTATAGATATATTATGTTCTTTTAAAGTCCACTCTAATGTCCCAGAATAATTTTTTTAGATAAGGAAATTCTATCTATATTCTTTTTTGAATGCCCTAACCTGCCAGCCCAAATGTAAGAATTCTCAACTGGGCAAAATTTTCTTGAGAAGTTTTGAATGCGGAAGTGTATAGCTAAATAGTACACAGTGTTCCTGTGTCTTGATTCCTACCCTTTGACTTAGGAAAGTCTTTGGTTTGGGTTCTGTACTGTGGCCTACTGTTTAAGGGAGCCAGATCCCACATGGCTGACTTCTGGGTTCAATCTCGGACCTGGCAGCTTGAAAAATACCCCAAATATATGTGCACGTGTATGTGCCCCAAATTAGAAAAGGACGGAGAACTGAAGGAGAGGGGATTGCAGCATGACTATGGCCCACTGGGCTGGGCTTTCTCCCTTTCCCTCTGTCTCTTCGTTTCTCTGGTGAGTGCACATGCCCTCTGACAAATATCAATATTTTTAAAGTATTTGATTATTTTAAATAATTATTTAATTTTATTTATCATTATTATTATTAAAGAGAGATTTTTGCTATAGGGCATGTGCGCTCTCCGGAGAAACAGAGAGAGAAAGCAAGAAATCACTCCCCAGAAGGGACAGCCACTCTGCAATCCCTTCTGCTTCAGTTCTCTTCTCAGGATCTTGGCTCGCACACACACACACACACACACACACACACACACACACACACACAGATGCCCAGCATGCATTTCAAGCTGCTGGGTCCAGGACTCAAACTGTGGTCGACTACACTAAGTCCATTATGCCATCTGCTGGTCCCTTATTATTTATTTATTTGGAACTAAAGAAAGGATTTTAGTTATTGAGGGCAAGAGGATGCAAACAATATAAAAATCAAAAGCTTATTTGGCATTTTATTCACTTTTCTCTCTCTGCTTGTCAAATGGGAGTTGGATTTTCTTTGTACATTTTCTAACGGTCCTGATCCACTCATGAAATCCTTATACAGGAGAAGCTGCAAAGTGGATTCCTTAAGTGACCCTGTGGGAGAACTTTTAATAACAATAGGAGTAATCAGGGTTGATTCTACCTACTTCTTTCCCTTCTGCTTCATGTGTACTACAAAATAGTCATTGCATGCAATGGTGAGGCCTGCAATTAGTGAAAAAAAGCTCTGGAAGCCCACTTTGCCATCTCAGCACTGGTCCAGGTCCTTCATTATTTTGTCCACAGCCTGAAGGTCTTTTTGACTTTCCAAAAACCCTGGGAACTCCTTTACCATGGGTACTCTCAGATCCTCCCTTGTCCCCAGCAGATTTGTGAAATGTAAATGTCATGGTTTCCATGGCATGCTCCATTTGAGATGGCGTTTTGGTGATAACTATTGAAATCTTGGCAAGCAGGCAGGCGGGGACCTGGTCCCTTATTATTTTTAATTTGCTACAGGGCACGTGCACTCACCAGAGAGAGAAGGAGAGAGAGGGAAAGTGAGAAAGCAAGCAGGTCCAGGACTTGAATGGCAGCCAGCCATCGGGGAGTCCAGTCCCTTAACCACCATGCCACCTGCTGGCCCCAAGTCTTTGATTTTTTTCTTAAAGATTTATTTTGAATTTTATTTGTTATCATTATTCTTAAATTTTGATCAGAGACAGAAAGAGAGAGTGTGAAAGCAAGCCACCAGGTTCAGGACTTGAATCGTGGTAGGCGGTGTGGGATTCCAGCACCTGGACCACCACACCTACGAGCCAGCTCCCAAGCCTTTGACTTTTTCCCCTCAAGTCTTTGATTTTTAAAAACAAGATCGTAATGCTGACTTTTTAAAAAGAATTATTTAATTTTATTCATTATTATTATTTTAAAATTGTGCTGTATAGCATGTACACTCACTCACCAGAGAGAGAGAAGAGGGAGAGAGAGAAAACAAGCTGCCAGGTTGGGGACCAGAACAACAGTTGACAATATGGGAGTCCACTGCCTCAACCACCATGGCACCCGCTGGCCCCAAGATTGACATTTTTCACTTTTTATTTTACCAAAACAATACTTCAAGATGAAAGCGGTACCTTAGAACTCCCCCAACACCCTTTGAACTCCGATTAGATTGGCAGATTGCAGCCCTCAACCAAAGCTTCAGCCTCTTTTCTCGAGTAAGTTCCTCTGTGAAAGATTTAGTTCTCTCCACCAAAGTTTGGGAGTTTAGTTGTATTTGTTATTTCTGTTTCTTGACCAACTCCCCTCGTCCGCATACACCAACGTTGGTCTTTACATTCGTTGTAGGGACATCCACTTTCGAGTTACACAAAAGATCTGGCACCAAGGATTGCCAAGTTGGAAATGCGCACATGCATGCCGCCTTGTTCCCTGGCCTGGCTCTGTCCTGAGAACTGAGAGCGGAAAAAGTCGGGGACTCCCACCTAGAGGCTGCCATAAACTCGCTGAGGACCCATCTTCCCACCTGAGTCTGGCGGACCCTCGGCCCCGCCCCTCTTACGCCCCGCCCTTCGCACCGTAGGCCCCGCCCACACGCCGTGGCCCCGCCCCTT